AACCAAGTCTATTTCATGCTATTCCGCTCTCTTTACATAGTTAAACCAAGTCTATTTCATGCTATTTCGCTCTCTTTTAACATAGTTAAACCAAGTCTATTTCATGCTATTCCGCTCTCTTTAACATACTTAAACCAAGTCTAATTCATGCTATTCCGCTCTCTTTAACATAGTTAAACCAAGTCTAATTCACGCTATTCGCTCTCTTTTAACATACTTAAACCAAGTCTAATTTTACGCCCTGCCGTCTAGCTTGCCCTGTTAAACCCCCATACTAAAATCTCCGATTTTGGCTCAGAAATCATTAGCGCTGGCACTTAGCGATTTTCACGCAAAGTGTTTCTCGCTTTCTGCCTGTTATAAACCCGATACTAAGGTCGCCGAATTTGGCTCGGAAAACAATAGCAGCGGCACTTAGCGATTTTTGCGAACAAACCTCACTAAGCCAAAACAAAGACTTTGACGATCTTAAGCTTAACAGTATTAACTCTCTACCAGCACTTTGACCGGTTACTTTCGCCGCCCCATAGCGAAAGTAAATCACTTTTACGCAGCCTTATTTCGACTGCTTAACTTTATAGTTTTAACATTGCGCGTTTGCAATTGGGGGGAGAAATGTTCATTTCTGAACAAATCAATAGAACAAGGGCTAAATCTCAGCAGATCGTAGTACAAGACTACTCTCATGCTTACAACACCCCGTTCTGTAGTTAAGTCGTCTACAAAGGATTTATCTTTCCCAATATTTGAAATTACAAATCAGCCTACTCTCCACCGCCAGTACTTGACAGGCAGCGAAGTGCGTTGCAATTGTATGATGTTGGGTGTCCAGAAGACACCTATCGCTATTCGCGGCACATCGGGAAAGGTGATTATCGTCTATTCCAGCATGGATTCTGACTTAGAGGCGTTCAGCCATAATCCTACAGATGGTAGCTTGGCGGCACTAGCTTTTCAGCTAACCGCAGTTACCAATTATCTGAACCAACGGTTCCTCTCGTACTGGGTTGGATTACTGTTTAGACAACGAACTCATCAGTAGGGTAAAACTAACCTGTCTCACGACGGTCTAAACCCAGCTCACGTTCCCTATTAGTGGGTGAACAATCCAACAATTGGCCGAGTTCTACTTCGCAATGATAGGAAGAGCCGACATCGAAGAATCAAAAAGCAACGTCGCTATGGACGCTTGGCTGCCACAAGCCAGTTATCCCTGTGGTAACGTTTCTGACACCTCTAGAGTAAAATTCAAAAGAACTAAAGGATCGATAGGCCACGCTTTCACGGTTTGT